CAACCTTCTGAGGAAGCGCCATATTGCTTTCCAGAGAGGTTGGACCATTTTGCAGTCCCATCAGCAATGAAGGAGTGTCCCAATCTCTCCATATCCCTGCCAGCATTTATTGTCCTCAACTTTTTTGATCTTTGCTGTTATTGTTGGTGTGAGATGATATCTCATTGTTGTTTTGATATTTATGCTATTTTTGCTTATTGTAAAAAATTTTCAGAAATAATGTATTTGTACGTCAACTGGTTTTGCATAGCCTTCTACTTTACAGAAGTGTAGTTTAAATTCAATGCTTTTTAATAATTTCTGTGGCAGACATTGAAGGATAGAGTCTAGCTTTGTGTTGTTAAGTGCTGTCGAGGTGGTTCTGATTCGTAGCACTCCTGAATAGAGTTTCCGAGGAACATGTGGTGAATTTGAACCTCTGACCTTGTAGTTCAAACCAACCTGTGGTCCAGTGTTTATCCCTCATTGGCACACCTGGACTTCCTAGAGCTTAGCTTATTACCTCTGAATTGCTAATATATTCATAAATGTAAGATGGCTTACAAGTTGCTAAACTGGGGCACAGGCATTAGCCTGGAATATTTTTTATTATATATTTTTTCAAAGCCTTATGTAAGTTCTTTTATGTTCATGTTCTTCTAAAGTGCTTTACTTTTCTATGTAATTTCTTTTACACCTGGATAGGGATTAGGTTGTATAAATAAAGCAGACCACTGGTGTGTAGAATCATTTCCTTTTAGTTTGAGAACTCCTTTGCCACTAACCGGGTAGATTATCCAAGCCTATTTGAAAAGTAAATGACTGAGATTTCCTTCCAGTGGAACAATTTGTAAGTTTTGGTGTTTTTTTTTCTTTTCATTTTTGGTTTGAATTGGAAAGTCTATTATTTGATTATGTTTTGTCTAAACCCAGTCATCTAGTTGATTCTAACTCACATCAACCTTTATAGGCTTTCTGTAAATCTTTACAGTAGCAAAAATCTTCATCTTTTTCCCCTGTATCAGCTGGTGGGTTTGAACTACCGAACTAGTGGTTAGTATTAGCAGTTTAGTGTTTATCCTATAGTGCCATCAAATTGACTCCAATTCACAGTGACCCTGTATACAACAGACTCCTCTACTTTGCCATACATGAAGTCCTTCTAGTAACGTGTCCAAAGTAC